CTGTGTTCAACAGTGTGATCCCCCTGTAGTTTCCTGGGTCAGTCTTGTCTCCTTTCTGAAACAAGTTCACAACCACTCCTTCCCTCCATGTATTAAGCGTATACTCGTTTTCCCACTCCCATTTGTACAGCAGTACCATCAGCTGGATCATCCCCTTCCCCCCAAACTTCATGAACTCGTTGATTATCCCATCCGCTCCTGCTGCTTTGTGGCACTTCAGCTTGTTCACACACGCCTCAACCTCGTCCTCAGTGAACTCCTTTTCTAGTTCTACGTTCCCAACGTCTGCCTTCGATGTCTCTTCTTCTTTTTGGGCCCATGCGTCCACCTCCTTCTTAAACACTTGGTCAAAAGCTTCATTCTCCGAGGGCACTCCAAGTCTCTTGTAGTGTCCTGCTAGAACTTCCCTTTTTCCCTTCCCACTGCTGACTAATCCACCGTTCACACCTCGCAAAGTTGCGACCCCTGTATCCCTCCCTTGCGCGGTCTTTTTCACCATTCCACTAATCCCTGCCCACATCTGCTTGACGTTCCCCTGCAGGCCTCCGGTGGCCATCTGCACTACTTCGTCCCACATGCACTTTTTCTCCTTGTTCGCTAGTCCCTTCACCTGTTTTCTCTCCTCCCTGTACTTTTCCCAACTCTCCTCAGACGCCTCACTCAGGTACTGCTTGAAGACTTCTCTACGTTCTCCTATTTCTTCTTTCAGCTCGTCATCCCACCACTCAACCGATACCCCACATCGTACCACCTTCTTTCCCACTGCTCTCTCTGGCGTTGCGTTCACGATGGACTCCCACCCTTCAATCACCCTGTCCCCTGCTGCTTGTACGTCTACCTGTCCGTCTCCGACGCTTCTCAGCAGTTTTCTGAAGGGTTCTACACTACCGGCCAGCCCCTTCTGGAATTCATCCCGTGTCCCATCGTCTCCCAAACGCTCTACCTTCCACCGGAACACTTTCCTCTGTTTCTTACTCTTGATCTTTCTAGATCGGTCGATGTTTGCCCATATGAGGAAGTGGTCGGTCGAACCTATATCTATCGCACTTACGTGCAGCTCTGGGATCTGCGTGCTCCCCCTATCTACCAGGATGTAGTCGAGGATCGAGTATTCATTGCAAACTGCCCGTTGCCTGGTGAACTCCGGCTTATCGCATTCCCTCCTATCGTTCAACACCATCAGCTCGTTACCTCCCAAGAATTCAAGCATCCTCGCTCCGTTGTCATTCACTTGGTCTTGTCCGTGCT